ACCTCCAGAGAGGCACTGTCTGTAATTACCGGCAGAGAATACTTCCTCAGACAGGCAGCATAGTGTGATGGATAGAGCTGTGGAGTTGGAGCCAAGGATACCTGGGTTTGAATCCTGCCTAAAACATTTGCCAGCTGTATGACACAAGGCAAATCACTTAACCTCTCTAGGCCTTAACTCCTCATCTGTAAGATATGGCAGTTGGACAAGAGGGTTTCTAAAATCAAGTCAGCAAGCATTTAAGAAGTGCCTACTATGTGTAGGGCACTTTGCTAAGCTAATAAAAAAAGCAAAAAATAGCCCCTGCCTTCAGGGAGCTCACAGTGTAAGGGGAAAACAATATGAAAACAACTATGTACAAACAAAAATATGCGGGATAAATTGGAGGTAATCAGTGGAAAGAAGGCACGAGCACGAAGGGGGCTCACCAAAGGCTTCTTGTAGAAGGTGGGATTAAAATCTGGAACTCAAAGGAAGTTTTATAACTTTCTTTTTTATATAACTTTGTTTTATAACTACTCTGGGCCTCAGTTTCCTAATCCATAAAATGTGGCAACTATACTAGATGATTTCTACAGTCTCTTACTCCAAATCAATGCTCCTTTAAATCCTTTGATCCTTAGGAAAAGCTTTTTTCTTATTTCCTATTGTTGCAGATAAAGATTGTTGATATTCCATAGGTTTAGTGCGGAGCTGCCTAGATGTTCTTTTTTTAAAATTCAGTTTTATTTTTTTTCCATGCCTAGATGTTGTGAACAGATTATTTCATTCACTTGAGCTGCAGTCCTTAGGCAATCATCTGTTTCAAAAATAGCAGATATGTATAATATGTGTCCAGTATATGTGTATATATGACATACCTTCTAAATTATAATTTTAGCTTCTCTGCTGATATAAAGAGCTCCATTTTTTAAAGCAAAAGTACTCGTTTAGATTCATTTGGGTGATTTGTCTTAACACGGCCACTTTTTCTGTTTCTTTTCCAAAGGCAAAAAAAATTTAATTTTAAGTTCTTACTATAATTTCAATTTTGATCAGTTTATAATCAAGTTTATAAATGATCAAATTTATAATGCCATTAAGTTTATAAAAGGAAAAATACAAAATCAAATGCCTACAGTGGTTTATAACTTGTGACTTCTTGTTTCTAGCAGATCCTGGTTTCCTTTAAAATTCAGCTCAAATGCCACCTTCTACATAAAGTCATTTCTGATTTTCCAGGCCATTGATGCCCTTCCACCCAAAACTTCCCTTGTATTTCTTTTGTATTTATTGTGTGTATATACTCATATGTATGTATTCTCTTCTCTATTTTAGGGTAAGGTCTTTGAGGGCAGAATGTTATTTATGTTGATGCAAACTTTTTTGGCTCTTGTCAGACTTTGTATATTCTAAGGGCATTTGACAAAAATGCTCTTTGAGATCCTTGGATCCCAGAGGCAGCTCTTGGGGTTTTCATGTGTCTGTAGAAAGGTTTTTTCTGGTTTAAAAAGTGTCCTGAGCTCACTTCTGAGTTCTGTTTCTCTTTTGCTTTTGTATCCATAACATTTAACACAGTGCCTAATAAATACATATTAACTGATCATTTGATTGACATGATATGATAGTTATTTCTAGATATTTTTGAGAAAATCCTTGCATGTATTTTCTTTCTGTATGTATGTAGACGTTCCCCAAGACTTGGTCCTGGCCCCTCTTTCTTTATACTCTTTCTTTTTAGAGATATCGTCAGCTTCTGTGGGTTTAGGAATAAACTTTGCAGATGGCTCCCAAATCAATATATCTAGCCCTAATCCTTCCTTTGAACTCCACTTAGAAATCAGCCATCTGCTGGATATCTTCTCTTGGGTGTCTTTCAGCACCTCAAACTCAAAATATCCCTCAAAGAAATCGTTTTGTAGATCATTTCCATGGTTACCATGGGAAGTCATTCCTAGGTTAGAGAAGAAAATGTCAGCAGATTCTGGACATGCCCAGAATGTTATTTATGTTGATGCAAACTTTTTTGGCTCTTGTCAGACTTTGTATATCCTAAGGGGATTTGACAAAAATGCTCTTTGAGATCCTTGGATCCCAGAGGCAGCTCTTGGGGTTTTCATGTGTCTGTAGAAAGGTTTTTTCTGGTTTAAGAAGTGTCTTGAGCTCACTTCTGAGCTACTGTATAATCATGTAGTCTTAGGCAAAAGAATTAGGTCACAGGATTACTTTGTTAGGAAAGTTCAGGCAAGAACACATTAGCTGGAAGGAAACACAAACCAATTAAGCCTATTTTTAAACTTGTCTTTAAGAGGACAGACTCAGGCTGTGGATCTGTTATCTGGCAATGTGTCTGAGAAACAGCAGGTCTCTGCCTGGTCAATAAGATATGTAGGCATCAGAGCCCCAAGTAGAAATCCTTTCCCTTGGGGCAAAAACAGTTTTGGGGAAGGGCAACAGTTTTGAGAACAGTCTGGTTATGGTGTAGTTATGCTGAGATAGGGTGGGAGGATAGGTAGGACGGAGCTGCAGCCCCAGGGAGGTTGTGGGTGGAAAAGGGAAGCCATTAGAGAGGGACACCACAGTATGAAACTCTGGGACTTTGGAGCAGGTTGAGAGAGTGGGGTTTTGGGGTATAGGCCAGAAGAGAATCAGAAGGCACAGTCTGGGCATTCTCTGGACGGCCCTGGGGAGGAAGTGCAACATCCCCTGCGACAAAGCCCTGATTGCCCCCACTCTGTGGTCCTGCTAGGCATTTCAGTACATGTATCTCATTAAGAAGCCACATTTCATTTGTGGTTCTTTGAAAATTTTATCAGAATACTTAAGATTCTCAAGACAGAGCCATAAC